GTTCAGCAGCTCGTGGACGAATACAGCGCTGCCACACGTCCCGACTACATCTCCTGGGGCACACAAGAGCAGTGAAAACCCCTTCGCTCACTCCCTAAAGCTCTTAGAGCTGAAAAGGGCAGGCTCTAAACTCATCCTGTAAAATACACAGTGAATCCAGTAGCAAATTTCAGTAGTGAATGCACCTCAGAGACTCGGGTCCATAAACCTTTCATGACTCACCATACTGTTCTGCCAGAGCCTTCTCTGCATTACCGCTGTGGTGAGAACCACTCACATATGTATATACATGTCATTTGTCATTTTTACAGGCCTATAGAACAGTTCTCCATAACCTGGTGCCTCTATCCTGAGCTGTAACTTCTCTCTCGTCCCAATTTCCTTGATTTCTTTGATCAGAGAATTTATGGCTCCATCTTAATCTATTTTTGTACTGCACTCTGGACTCTTCTGCACAAAATCTACATCAATCTACGTCAAGGTGCACACAAACTTCCCTGACCACACACACGTTAGACGTCTGACTCTACACCAATAAGACTGGGTGGTCTCAGATGAATGTAAACCATAGGAGGGAGTGTGAAAGGTTAAGAAGAGATCAGACTAGAAGCAGCTTTTGAATACACCATCTCACTCCCTCACGTTCACGCATGCATGCTTTTAGACAAAAGGCGCTTACTTTCAGGGGATAGACTATGATTGTGTGATTGAATCAATTTTCCTCTGTCTCGTTACAGATTACTCTCGAAGATTATCTTAGAGTTTTGAGAGACGATCAGTAAAGTCAAGCGTTATGCTGTACCTCAATCCATCCAATCAGTGAACCCTCATCAGGTTCTTTTTCTAGTCAATCAAATCAGTGAAGTTACCTCAAAGTCTGGCAGGATCAATCATACACCAATCCCAATGCATCACATTTCCTCATTTTAATAATTTCTTCTTCTTCTCCAGTCTTGTGTGTGTGTGTGTGTGTGTGTGTGTGTGTGTGAGTGTGAGTGAGAGAAACTTTCATGCCAGATTTCTGTCTCGGTGCTTTCTTTTCCCTGGTTACCACATGTTCTTATTATTAATGTTATACTGTATATATAGTTTGCTGTCAGACTTGATGCATTTACTTGAAGTTCATGAGATTTAATAAATGTTTTTCTACAAGAATATTTCCATAGTGTGCAAATACTGATTACTCTCAAAACCATCTGCGCTCATATCAGTCACTCACGTGGGTAATTTGGCTTTAAAACACATGAAATAGCTCAGGAATGAATGCCTTTACCTTTGATAACCACTCTGGTCTTCATCTCTTATATTCATATTCCAATACTTGCCAACAGATACTGATAAGTTGAATCAAGGACACACTGTACATCAGGTGTGCCCAATCCTGCTCCTGGAGGGCTTTGTTTAGCTCCAACCTGTCTTAACACACTTGTCTGGAGCTTTCGAGTAATCTTGAATTCCTTGATTAGTTGGTTCAGGTGTTTAATTAGGATAGTGGCCCTCCAGGAGAGGGATAGGACACCCCTGACACATATGGTTGCAGTTAAACTTTATTTCTTCCAAAGGTTGCAGACATTTCATGTCTCTCCAGTGCAATTTTTTTATTAGTGACACTGGTCCCAAAACGTAATTTCATTGCATTATAAGCAATATATCAAATCAAGTAACCTTTTCTTAGAAATGCTTGTTTACTTTCCTTGTAACTTCCATGTTTATTTTAACCAGTAGGTTTCAGTGGGGTTTTTGATCTTTTCATTGTAGGGTCTTAATGCCTTATTTAATTTCATGCATTTAACATTTTTGAATAAGCTTTATTCAAAAATGTTAAATGCATGAAATTAAATCAACAACATGAAAAATAGGCAAAACCATATTGATTTTGAACTGTAGTGACCATATAGATTACTTAAATATTACTGTAATATCTTTCTATAAATCTGCTTTAAAATAGTACGCATATAGTGTGAAAAACTATATAAAATAATATAAAAAACTATTATAAAATATACAGTACTGTTTAAAAGTTTAGAGTCGTTAACTTTTTTTTGTAAAATGTAGAAGTCTTGTCACTTTTTTATCAATTTAATGTATCTTTGGTGAATAAAGTATTATTTCGTAAATAAGTAATATACAAATAATTTTTTTCCACATAAACAGTATAACTGACTCAAGTGATGTTGTAATGGTGCTGCTTTTTATTACATAGAGTATTCATCATTTTGCATTATTGCACATTTAAGTTAGCCATACAAACAATAGTGCAATTGACTATTACACGTGTAACATAATAAAGGTACCATGCAGCATACAAACCGTCTAAAGCATCAGAGGTTGTCGTTCGAGTTGTGTTACATGTATGACAGTGGGCGGAGCTGCCTGCAGCTAAAGAGTGACATGAAGAGAACACAAAACAAAGCATGTGACAACCGCTACTGCCGTCACAGGGGCTGTAGGTGGAACGCGGTTTGGGCAAAAGACACAGCTTAAAACAAAAACCAAAATAAACAACATTGAAGATGTGATTGCCCTCCACCTTTGAATTTCAAGTAGCTGGTAACCTTTTTTCAGATTTGTATTCATGCAGACAAGCTGCACAAGAGCAAAGATAGTGCACAACCGAAATATAAATACTATGAATACAGAAAAAAATTAGCCTGATTATGGAGCATGGGTGAATTAACGATTGTACAGACTGTTTGACAGGCACTAGTGGTTCCCTTTTAGGCAACCTAAAGCCCCATACTGAAAATGGGCTCATACTCAGGAAGACTGGGCAGGTTTTATTGCTTCAGTAATAGTTTGGCAGTCATACAAGAAGAGAAAAAAATAAGGGGAAAAACAACCCCAACCCCTAGATATTTGGTCCATGTGACTTTAAAAGGAGCGAATGACTTTTTTTGGTTATGACAAACAGTCAATAATCCTACTGGATCTACAAAAAAAGATTATTAACAAGTTATTTGCAATATGTAGACCTCTCATGACGGGGAAATAAATGACAAATAACCAAAAACGTAAATAAACATCATGACATCATATTTTAACTATGACAATCATCCGCTCTTTTGTAATTATTCCAATGCAAGCACTAAAATACAAATACAGGTCTTTATGAAAGATATATAAAACAAAAGTAAAAAGGACAATAAAAACTCACTTCCACACAATGTATACAACAGACAGCCATAAATAAAACTAGTAGAAAGTAACACACATTAAAGAAGAATAGAGATAAAGAGATTTTATCTCTCATCAGATAAAAAAGCTGGCATAAGGCTTCATAAAATCACAACTGACAGAGGCTTCAGGTTACGCTCAAAGGGATAGTCCACTCAAAAATTATAATTCTGTCATCATTTACACACTTTCATGTTGTTCTAAACCTGTATGACGTTCTTTATTGTGCGGAACGTAGAAGCAGTCTTGGTGTTTCTACTTTTTTTGTGTGTGTGTGTGTGTTCCATACAATAAAAGTCAATGGGGTGCAAATTAATGTTGTTTTGGACCCCATTTACTTTCATAATTTTGTGTTCATCAAGATGAAAGAAACAAAGGTTTGGAACAACATGAGGGTGAGTAAATGATAAATTAATTTTTTTTTTTGGGTGAACTACAGAAATGTGCTTTCTTTACAATATGGGATGGACAATGTTGCATATCAATAGTGTTGATTATTTGTCTAGCTTCAGTGTTTGAAAATGCGTTGAGAGGTCTGGGAAACTTGGTTTGAACCAAAATTGTCGTTTTTTTGAAAATGTCAAAATGTAATTTACCTTCACAGGTACCAGGCTGCAAATGTGTGTAAGTTAGTTGGTTTTAACCGGATCTAAAGATCTGAGGCTGTCATGGCTACAGGACGCACAGTGCAGAGTTACTGTAAGCTAACAGCACAGTCAAGCAGCACCAGGTCGGGCTCAAAGCATTTCACTCACACACTCTCATCATAGAGACGAGCTAAAGATCCTTTGGTTTCTACAGCTTAAAATGTTCAAATCTGTCTCTCTCTCACGCACACACGCACCACTGTCGGTTCAGTAATGGACAGTTCTGAAGGTCGACGTGAAAGTGACTTGCACCTGCTTTCATTTTAAGGTCATGTATGGTTTGATGAATGAGTTTAATGACGATCCAGGCGGGAGTCTGGAAAGGAACGTTTAAAGCAGAGCGAGTGCTTTCGTGTGAGTGCAACGGCAATGTGTTTGTGTCGTCTTCCTGTAGTGCAATATAAAGGCATCGCTGCAAAAAAAACTATTTTTGTCATGTTTTCCAATAAAAATTAAAAACATCCTTTAAACAAGGTAAATTTACATGAGAAGCAAAATAAGAAAAAGTAACTTAATTTGAGATCAATTCTTTGAAGTTAGTCTTAAAATTAGTCTTAATACGTGATGAATTCAAGGAAAATGAAATGTATTTTAATTGTTCAAAATAAGTACAAATAAATTCATGTTGTTTTAAGGATGTTTAAATATTGAAACACTAAAAAACAAGGCAAAAATACTACTTCAGAAAATGATTTTTGCACTGTTCATCTCTGAAGTCAGGCTATTATGCTCTCTGTGATATTTGGCGGGCTCCCAGGTGGCAGGGGCCGGTGGAGGGCCCCATGTTCTTTCTGGATTTGGCTGGCGGTGTAGCAAGTGATTTCCTGAACCTGCTCTCCTGCTTGTGGCTCCCTGGTCACCTTCCACTCCTCTTCTATTTCCACAGCATCTGCTCCTTTCAGTCTCATCTGAGTTCGTCCTCTTTGCAAAAGCTCCACACAGGGAAGCAATCAGTCAGGACTGCATATGCACGTGTACATCAGTCGGAGTCAGTGTGTGCGTGTGGGTGTGCGCGAGTCCATCTCTCTTCACACCGGGTGAGAGGGGAGCTCAAGTAGGGAGGGGTGGAGCTTAGGGTTTGTCTCCATGGAGATGCAGTCATCCTTGCCTAGCTGGCGACGGGTGGCACTGAAGTAAGCATTCATCAGCTGCATGATCTCAGTCAGCTAGGAGAGAGAGAGAGAGAGAGATGACTCGAGTAAATTTCCACTGTGAAATATGTGCTAAGCATTTTACACTAGTACAATGACTTACACTCTAGAAGGCTTTGTACACCAAACTTAACCCTGGGTTAACAATTTTTAGGTCAGCATGGCTCTAGATTTATTAATGTTTTTAAAAGAAGTCTCTTATCCCTGTTGAAAAAAAAAAAAACAGCAGTGCTGGGTTAGGTATGTTTTGAAGCATGGCACTGACAGCTATTTTGAGCTGGTTTAAGCTGGTCCTGAGCAGGAGCTAGTTGCTTAGGACCAGCAGATGACCAGCTTAAACCAGCTGCCATGCTTCAAAACATACCTATGCTGGTTTTTTCAACAGGGATGTTCACCAAGGTTGCATATATATATATATTTTTTTTTTTTTAAGAAAGAATTGTTTCGTTTATGATTTATGATTAGTTTATGACAGCAATCAAACACCAAATGAAATCCACTGACAGTTGCACTTGTTTGTCATATTTAACATCTTTAATTTGTTATTTTGACATCCATAAGAGTGATTATGGATCAGAACAGCTATAGGCGACCGTTGATGACTGACAATGACTGGACGTCATTAAAAGTGTAGGTGTGAGCTAGCAGAGATGTTCTTGCATCACTCAGAAGGCAGGCAGATGTGAAGGCAAATGGTTTAGCATGAAAACTCAAGAGATTTATCAGGTTAAAGTGCACAGGAGTGACGGCACAGGATGGGCGTGAGCCTGCAGCTAATATCAGAAGAAGATAGACTGGTTGTCTCAGTGTTTCCACATGTGAGCACACTGAAAAACACAGCTGGTCTGACCTGTATTGTTTGAGTGCTGGAAGGAGGTTTGTAGTACAAGATACAAACACATTGACGTCAACGTCTTTCTAGTTTAGAACTATCCAAGGTTGCATGTTTCATATGTTTACTCTTACATTTACGAATTTACAGAACATGCATATTATGTATTTTGGTCTAAAACTCTGTGTGGGTATATGCTTCCCCTATTATATCTGGAGTATTTTGGCCTAATAGTATGCATGCATGATGCTAACATGAAGGCCAAGTTGCATCTCTCCATTATTGCTAGAGGGAAACTATGATAAGCAGAGCTACCATCTGTGTATATAAAATGCTATGGCAATAGTTTTATTCTTTAAATGTTTTAGATTTACTGAAGAAATGTGAGTGTTGTTTTCCTGATGCAAAGGTGGTATTTTGGGTGGTTTTGTGGCTGCCAGTATTTCAGTATTATTTATATATTATTATAGCATTTACTAATATTTTTAATTATTATATTTTTAGTTTTCATTTTAATTTTAGTCCAAGTTTTAGTCATTTTTATTATTTTATTAATTTTTAAAAATATTTTATACATTTTTATTACTTAAAAAAATTATTAATCTTAATCTTTATTTTTACTTTAATTTTAGTCACTTTAGTACATTAGTTGCGATTCCAGTTAGGGATATTGATGATATAACCACTATGCAGCCTGCTTACCTTGGAGGTCTCGAAGAGCAGATCTCGGTCTCCTGCAGTGATCCTGAATGTGTTGCTATCAGAGACGCCATAGGAACATATCTGACCAATCGGCAGCGACTCCAACGCTTCAGCCTCACCCTGACGATACAGAGACACACAGGAAGCCGCCACGCCCAGCCACAACTTCTGAGAGAAGCTTCCTGTCGAGCTCTATGAGAAACAGGAAGATGATAGGCACAGCTCTGATTCTCTGGCAAAAGAATCCTGTGGTACAAATGTTTAAAACTTTTTTCAATGCTTTTAAAAGAAGTTTCTTAGGCTTATCAAGGCTGCATCTATTTGGTGAAAAATACAGTAAAAATAGCATTGTGAATTATTACAATTCAAAATAAATGTTTTCTATTTTAATATATTTTTAAAGTGTGTGATTTTAAAGCTGAATTTTCAGCAGCCATTACTCCAGTCTTCAGTGTCACATGATCCTTCAGAAATCATCCTAATATGCTCACTTGCCGCTCAAGAAACATTTCTTGTTATTATCAATGTTGAAAACAGTTACATTGTGGGAACCACTCACGATGTAGAAGTCCACTTCATAGAGCGTACAGCCAAACCCGGACCACTGCCGGGCGATGGTGAGATAGGCGGCCATGCTATCTCTGCGACTGTATCCCGCCAGGGCTTTCCAGCGCTCCAAAATGGCCGACATCACCACGGCTCCCTCTTCCCTTAGTCTGGCCCGCAGTCTTTGGTCCTGTTCCTGTCGCCGCTTGTGTCCCCACAGCGTCCCAGCCAGCAGACCCCCGGGGAAGGAAGGGCAGCCAGGGGGATCGACAGGGGCCAATAGGGCCCGGGCCTCCACCACTTCAGCCGGAAAGAGCTGCTCCAAGGGTGGGTACGGCGAGAGGGCACTGAAATCTCCCAGTAGACACTGCAGTCTCAACGCTGCCAGGGAAAGAAGGTCATCCTCACAGGCTGGCAGCTGCCCCCGCACCACCATCTCATGACACTGAGACAGAGAGAGGGAGGAGGAAGTCAAACAAGGGAAAGTTTACAGAGTTCACTAGTGTGCAGTGTTTGTATGGTGCTTTTCACTTGACTTGACTAATAAAGACGTTATGCACACATCTGTCCACACAAGTGTGAAACTAGTTCGCATATAACACAAACAGAGAGGAAGAATTGGAAAATCCCTCTTTTTTTCTACGCTCGAGCCGTTCTCTTTTGTTTATGTATATATATATATATATATATAGTGTCTTAAATGGATGTCTGCAGACAGATCCAAACTTGTAATATAAATCTTCAGAGGAAGATATCCATTATTAGCCTTTTATAAAACACAAAAAGGCCATTTCTCTTTTAGTCTTCTATCAGACTTTTTCGCCGTATATTTTAGAATCAGAACCAGAATTAGCTTTATTCGCCAGGTGTGCACAAACACACTAGGAATTTTCTTTTTTTTTTTTTTTTTTCCCCAGGTGCTCCTGGTGCATACACACATGCATACACATCTGACATGAGAACAGAAAAAAACATTTAAATAGTAAGACTTAACAAAAAATAATGTGTATACAAAAAATAATGTGTATGAATCTGGAACAGTAGATTTATGTACAGATTTGTGCATTTGTACTCTATATAGAACTGTATAAATAAGAGATATCCATATGTATTTACATAATACTTGAGAAAAAGGCAATAATTAAAGATGTAGAATGAATTACGGAAATGAATTACGGAACACAGGTAATGATTCATGTGTTAGCTGTTTAAGCTGGAGATGGCATTGGGGAAAAAAGTTTTTATGCCTAGATGTTCTAGTGCGCAGAGATCTGTAGCGTCTGCCTGAAGGGAGAAGTGCAGGTGATGGCTTTCAGGCCTTTCCACACTGATGTAGAGTCATTACTTGAAAGCTGTTTTTTTAGCTTTTCAGAGTAGTTTAACTTTGCCACTCTTATCTCCCTATTCAGTGTGTATTTGGCCTGTTTGTACAAGTCTTTGTCCCCACTCCTGTAGGCGTCCTCTTTGGCCTGGCGAAGCTGTTTGAGTTTTGCACTGAACCAAGGAAACGCAGGCACTTCCTTATACTCAACAGTCAAGTCACCTTTAGTTTTATAGCACTTTAGTTTTACAGTAGAGATTGTTTCAAAGCTACTTCACAGTATGGAACAGGAAAGTAACAAAATCATTTGCAAACTTCAAAAATGAGGCAAATCCAAAAATCTGACAATAGTGTCAATATTCCGCTAAAGTCAGTTCAGTGTTGATTCAGTTCAGTTCAGTAACTGTAAAGTTCATTCGTCATTGAAACAAGTCAGACTCAGTGATAAGCAGATCTACTGAAGACAGTAGTGTCGTTATTCAGCTCGAGTCAGTTCAACGTTGATTCAATTCAGTTCATTAACAGTGTGAATGTTGCAAAATTCATGACTTTCAATAATCTACATTCAGCTTTCTCATTCCTGCTCATCCCCACCCGTCTCTTGTCATTTTACCTGCTCATAGAGGAAGAGGTACTCAATGCTGTCTGTACTGATGTTGTCGGTGTCCAGCAGACAATACAGTTTGAAGCAGAGTCGGCACTGGCAGTCAGAGTCTGGATCTTTAGCTGACAAACTGGAAGACAGACAGAGATTTATTAATGGAAAATGCATATGAATCAGATACACATCTGAAGATAGCCTCGGCCCCTGGTTGAGAGCCTCTGTATAATAAACTTTTTTATTGAACCCCTTCTAAAGCACACTTAAAGTATGTCTTTGTCTTAAACTATGTCTAAGTCTAAGGAGAGAAATTTGCAGGCGCTTCCTAAACATGACTAAAGTCACCCCATCAGAGTGGCGTCATCATTCTGAATTATATGACTCACCCTGATTTGCTAAGCTTTTTCTGCTGCCTGTGCATTTTTGCACATGCGGGTTTGTTTGTGTGTGTGTACACATAATATGAGTGTGAGAGAAAGACTAGGCGTGTGTCCATGAACCCACTTCTGGGAAGAGTTGGCACTGAGACGTGCAAAAACACAGGCAAACACAAACACACTTCCCAGAATAAAGTGGATGCCTTGAATTCTGGCTGGCTTGGCTTATCTCTCCTTCAGTTTGCTTTCCACATCCGTTAATGCTCATGACATCAGTCTCACCCTGAGATCCCTACTGGAACACTGAATACTAATAAAGAGCTGCTTGTCTATTCTCACAGTGTGTGTGTGTGTGTGAGCATCAGGGGGGTTAGTTAAACTGTGCTAAAGTGCTGGGAAAGTGAATAAATCGATGAAAACACAGATCTACACTGTACTATACTCAGGGCCGCATTAAGACCGCAC